TTAGTGCAAACTGCATCCCTTGTCAATTGGGAGGGTTTTTTTAACCAGCCAGAAACAAGCATCCCCTAATTCCAAGTGCTCCACATGTTATTACATGAATGTCAAGCTCTGTGAGTACCAACAGAAAGTTGTAACACCTTAGAAAAGCATCCAAGGACAAAAATACCAGAGGTAAATTCGCATACTGTTTACAAACACAACATACTGTCACTGTTTTAGTGGTGGCATTTGGGGTATTTGAATGCGTCTGTTGCTATAACCTAGATTTTTGCTTAGCACTTCTGAACAAAATCCAGCATAAACCACAGGTAAAATTTTGCATTTTAGCATGAGACTTCAAAACTCATTAATGAAGACAGTGACTTTTAAATACAAAATACCACTAATGTCTCTGAAAGCCCCTGAGATGTAAATCATTATAGGTGGGGAAAGCAGTCACAAAAAACATTCTGGTGTTTCCTGTTCCCATTCCTTTGCCATGCCCCTTGCTTGGGGCTGCTGCAAGGGAGGTGATGCCAGGCTGCAACCTCAGGCTGAGGTGCTGTGGCTTGATTACATTTGTTTTTTTCCTGTATGTTGGTGCTTTGTGTTTGGAGATGAAAGGTTTAGTGTGACAGAGAGACCTCTCCTCTCTCCTTTAGAAACTGCTCCTCATGTCTGGTTTTTCACAGTTCAAACACAAGGCTTTGAAAAAGATTTCGAAGCTGCATCTTGGATATGGAAATTCACGGCTTTGGGCAGGTTCATCATCAGGTCTAAAATTTCAAGCTTAAGATTAAGAACCTGCTGCCTAAATGTAACTCATTTTACTTGTGCTTTGCCTTTCTCTGTTTTTTTAAGCAGCAGTGGAGTATTTTATAAGCATTACTTACCTGCTTTTATATGTGGATATCACTGTAATGGATTAATTCAGGATTTGCAGGCATGGTGGAAGCCAAATTCATTGCAGTAGAAGCTCAGGGGTTAAAGATCTCAGAGGAGTAGGTGGGAGTGCAGATGGCAGCAGCAGATAAGGAAAAGGATGAAGTTTGCCTGGACATGGCAGTAGGGGTCCACGTGGGAACAGATTTGGGCAGCCACCCACCCCTGCAACCACACCATCACCTGTGGCCAGAGGCACCCAGTCAGGCCCTGAAGACCAAAAGGTAGCAAAGGAGCATGACAAAATGAAAGGATATGTTGGGCTGGGTTTGCAGGTGAAATTGGGAAACCTAGATTTGTACTGTTAATTGCTTTTTAAATCTGTATGCTTTTTATCCTTGGCCTGCTACATTCCTTCTGGAGGCTCAGTTTCCAAGTCCTAGTTTTTAGCATTGTACAAGGAGCTCAAATTGAATTGTATAAAATAAAAATGAACATTGTGGCATCTGTAAAATGACACTTCATTTTTCAGTAAATCAACTGTAGCAGAGAAGAATCAGCAGAAGAAACAATATGGGAATTATTTTTCTTCTTAATCAGGAAGGAAGAGTTATTGGAAGCCTTACTTGACAGGTAAGATAAAACTTTAAATATCACTGCCTTTTATTAGAGGACTCAGAAGAGAAAAATGTTTCAGCAATTGACAGTAAGGCAGGAGTAACTGCAGACCTACAAAGATGCAGAGGGAGCACTGTGCCCATCCCTATTGGAGTTTCACTGATTTGTTACAAAAGGAGAAATTCCAGAGCCATGAAAATCAAACACCTCTCCAATTAAGACAGGCTGAGAGTTTTGGTTGTTTAGCCGGGAGAAGGCTCCAGGATCACCTTAGTGCTGCCTTTTAACATATAAAGGTGGCTCACAGGAAAGATGGAGACAGGCTTTTTATCAGGGTCTGTAGCCAGAGGACAAAAGGCAGTGGTTTTAAACTGAAAGAGGGTAGATTAAGTTCAGACAGAAGGAAGAAATTTTTTATGATGGGACACTGGAACAAGTTGCCTGGAGAAGTTGTGGATCACTTTAAGTGCACAAGGGCAGGCTGGATGGGGCTTGGACCAGCTTTGTCTAGTGGAAGGCAGGGGGTTGGATGAAACGATCTTTAGAGGTCCCTTCCAACCCAAATGATTCTATCATTCAATGAAATACTAATCCAGTGCATTTTTTCAGTCTTTTTCAAGGGATAAAAGCACCCATGTTTTTCAGGAGGAAACTGGAGGGCCAGTTACCAGGATGCCCAAGGTTCTTTCATCAGAGGCAGAGGCTGCTATCTAGAACTAGCATTTAGGATAGTTTCTGGCTGTCATATGTTTCTCCCCTTTGCAGAGCTGCAGTTAAATAAATAAGATTAGCCAAAATATATGCAGCTTTTCTGTCAGACATTCTGCCAAGTCTTACGCTGCTGACCTACTACAGTTCCATCCTGCTTTCTCTTTGCACTAATCCACTGGAAACCCAGCCCTGGAGACCTGCCTCACAAGCTCTTGTGGGGTTGTCAGAGTCCTAAGGAGGTCCCTGAGCCCATCCACCACGCAGTGCAGCCCCTCCAGCAGGTTCCATCTCAGTGGCCGTGTGCCAGTCTGACACTGTGTGGCACATACAAGTACTACAGCTATTGCTGCCGCACACAGCCAGGGTCCCTCCACTGCACTGCCAGCTCCTTAGGCTTGGCACCTTAGAAATGTTTTTTCCTTGTCCTAAAAAAGTCTATATTTTTTTTCCTTTTATTCTTTTTCCTCCTACCCCAGATTCCCTGTGAGGAGTGGTTTTCATTTATTCCAAGCGTGTTTGTCAAGATATTCCTTTTGTCCCGCCCAGGAGTAAAGGGCATTTTGAGGTCTCGTTGAGCAATAAATAAATATTTGAGTTATATTTCTGTTGTCTCATTGTGATGGCCTGGTTACCCATCTTGAGCTTTCCACCTTTGGAATCTGATGGAGAATGGTAAGAAGACACCTACTTCTCAGAGCCACTCTTCACGTCAGCTCTCCATTATGCTGAGTAAGAAAGAATATAAATGATTTATCCTGGGGGGAAAGGAGAAATTATGGATCCAGGCAACTGAATAAAAATATGAATCTTGCCAGCTTTCAACAAAAATTGATCTTCATTGAGTGAGACAATTACTGGAAAGAGAAAATAATTCTATATACAGAATACAATTAATAGTGAGTTTTTATGGAACTACCAGAGTCCTGTTCCAAAAGTCGCCCATACAGGCAGAGGTAGTAGTCAGTAAGGGATGCCAAGGGAATCCCTAAAAATAATGCTGCCAGAGAAGTGGGGCTACTAGGAAAATGGTACAGCAGCCTTGGGGGTCTAAGCAAAATCACCAAGGGCAAACTGCCCAAGCAGGACTGATTTTGTGTTCATTCTGCAATGGCAAATCCCATCATGCGCTCACGGCACAGAAAAAGGGAAGAACATGGGAGCTTCACCCAGGTTTGCAGCTTTGAGTCGGTCAGTGCACAGGAGAAAGTGGCTACATGTGATGTGTGCATCTGGTGACATAAAATGTGTTTATACCTGAGCAGCAGAGCGTGGTGTAGAGTGCCCCAAGCTAGTGACGACCTGAGCTAGCGGAGTCCTCTGCAACCAAGGACTTCAGAGATTAATCAGCGGCGACATGAGACAGGATGTCAGGCTCTGTCAGCACCCCAGGTCCCACAGCAGCTTAAGGACAGAAGCCTCAGTGAGAGGGAGGACAGGGGATATACACACCTAACAGACCAGGAAAGATCTAGTTGATTGTATCGCACCTAGAGGAGGAGCGTGTCCAAGAGCATTAAGTTTCCACTTTCCAAAGAGAAGAGAGCTGTGGTTTCAGGACCCAACCCTGCCTCTATTCTTTATTCATGTTTATAGGTAGCCATGGTGACTAATCAGGAGATCTATGTCAGGCTTGGTGACTGCTATACATAATATATATATATATATATAAATAATATGCCTCCTTGTTTAGAACAGCACCTTACAGGGAGATGGACATTTTTTGATTTGGGCTACAGCCCTTCATTCCCCTTGCATGCAGTAAATGATATCCTGTATCCTGCAGATATTTTTGCTCAGGCTGGACCCAACTGACTGGAGCATTGAAAAAATTAAATATTTTTCTTTCCCTTATTAGGAGAGGGGAGCAGAGATGTGCCCTAAACAGACCTGCTTATGGTGAATGAGATTTTTATTAACTTGTGAAAGCAATCTGCTTCTCTCTGTCCCTCCCCTCACCTCGCTGTGATACACGTCCTGCCTCCAGACACATTTCATCCCTCTCCAACCTTGTGAAGGCTGCAGGCAAATAAACCCCAAACTGCCTCAAATCCAATGGCAACTACTGTGTCAGATTCTGCCTGCTTTATGTCTCATAAACATGTATTAATGATTCCTTCCACAGACCCTTCCACAACTACTGTTGTGCTGTAGTAAACTTTCTCTTGGCCTGGTATCAGCGAAAGAAGCTTCAGCCCAAAGGAACCCGGCGCAGCAGCAACTTAGCTGCATAACACCTTGATGGTTGCAGAGTTGACATTTCCCTCCATCGCCAGTATGGAAGGAAGTGAGAACAGACAACGTACAACCTTACAGCACAACATTGTTTTGTCTCTGATTTCCTCCCCATCCAATAAATGCCTTAGAAACTTTCTGCAAAGCAGGAATATTTGCTCATGGCCTAGCACTTAAAAGCATATCCAAATTATAATGGAATGCTTTCCTCCAAAGCAAAGATAATAGGGCTTGGGAAAATAATGTTTTAGATGAACATCTGCTAGAGACTGGCAAGCTGTCTGGCAACAAATTCTTTGGGGAAACACAGCTCAATACTCTTGCTGAAGGGGAGCAAGTGAGATTACAAGACAGGAAAAAGTAACACGTCTTGAGAGGTTAAATGCAAAACCTGATTACTCCTCTCAATTATCCCAATCTTACTTCGTGAAAGTCACTATTTGAAAAGTGCTTATTTCCAAATTATACTGAGATGAGCAGAGGATAAGTCAGTGAAATTACTAAATGAAAACCAACCCTTCTATATAATACATGCAACCCAACCAATTTAGTACAACAAATTCAGTATGCATTTGAAGTATCATGAAAATAGTGTCTTTAATATACAGTTTATATACTTACAATACGCAGTTTAAATTTGTTCATATACATTACAGGGATATTTATTTGCACCTGGTTTAAATAACAATCTGCCTCCAGCCTTTTACACAAAAGCCCAAAACAGCACAGAATTCCACAAAACCCATGCTTCGTTTTATAACGGAAATGTACTAAGCCAAAGTTTTGGGGCTTTTTCTTTTTTTATTTTTCCCAAGTGTTATTTTTTTGACATACCCGAAGTGAATCTAAAGAGCTAAGAACAAACATATTTTTAATACAATTCAGAAGATTGTCCAAGTCAAGAGAATCACTCTGCAGATTTTCACACTGAAAATTTGGTTATTACACACAAAAATTGTGAAGTCTGAACCACTCCTGGACTACCAGGAGTTTAAGACATAACAAAATGGAGAGTCATTTATTGCTAGGTCTCAACAAGGGGCCTGAATTTCCCCACTGCCCTGCCATCTCTATAAATAAAAAGGACGGTCCCTCTTGCTTATTAGGATTTCATCTGTACCTTCTGGTTTGCATACAGGAATGCTGCAATTTCAAAGCATTAGAAAGAGGAGCCAGGAGAGCTGGGCTAAGCCGTAGTCCTCTCACAGGGCTGGTGTTTGGCTGTTAAGTACCATGGTGTGACCCCCTGCCTGGCCTGCAGGCAGGACTTGGCTCGCCTGTGTTACAGGCAGGAAACCCACTGGGAAGCACACAAGAGGCTGGTGCCAGCACAATTTGTTTTGTGGGGGACAACCAAGAAGTTGATTCAAGATGAAAAGATCAGAGAAAACGATTATTTATAGACAGGTTTGAAACAACTGTCTTTTTCACGTGTTCAGAGCATTTTCAGGCAGCTTTGCTCTTTACACTGTTTCTCTTGAAGCTGTTGTGGAACAAAGTTCTTTTAAGTGGCAAGAAACCTGTTCTATTAGAAAATACACAGCAATACACAGTAAATTCTAACCCTTGCTTCTAGCTGAAAAGAACACTTCAAAATGTATTTCCCTTCTAATTTTGGATGGACCAAATGTTTTCTATCTAAGTTTCTAGCTGTAGGCAATTTTTACAATATGGCAAGAAATAAGAATGCAAATATGCACTTTGAGTTGCTGTCAACACAGCTTTGGTTAGCCAGGCAGGCAGCAAGACAAAGAATCATCATCCTAGGCACAACGAACATTTGAAAGAAACTAGCATTTCCCCTCAAGTTTCCTCTCCATCCCTTCCCTGCCCAATTTGGTGTCAACCTCCAGGAAAGCCTCCATGCCAGAATCCAGCTTTTATTGCTGAAGGCAGCATCAGTCCTTGTACCAGCACATAACAGTTGCATAGAAAGGATGTGTTTCCTGGTGCAGGACAGAGAGACAGCTCCATACAGAATGACATGACGTGTTTTTTGCTACCAAACCCCCCAGACAAACAAAAACCACAAGGATAACGCACAGCTCAGACACCGGTAACCAAGTAAGCACCACAGGCCTTACATTTATTTAATCTGAGGGAAGAAATCCAAGGTTAGGACTGGCCTGTTTTAGTGGACTGCCTTAAAAATATAAGTGATTTTAGGCCCACTCTGGCACAATGCTCAATAGATACAGCTCTCAGGTCTCAAAGACAATCAACACAATTTCCATCAACATGGCTGGACTCCACTACTGTCCAAAACCAGATTGGTTTTCCCCACTGCTGACATCTGTGCTGTGCTTGGGAGTTGCCATAGCCTGGCTACCTACTGAAAGGTACCCCTTTCCATAACCTAGGATCCAAAGGCTGAGCTACAACATTCCATACACCCAGTTTGCTCATCACTCTTCTGATTTCACCAGAGCAGACACTTCACTCCAGCTTGAGTACCACAGCAGGCAGATCGACACTGGAGCCATATAATTCACAGAACACAAATGTTAGGAACATCTAAATCCCCAAAAATGGCTTGGAAAGTGAATGTGATGAGTGGCTAAGGGCAAAAGAAAAAGTTAAATGCTAATATATTATGCATAAAAGTAAGTAAGCAGTGCCAAGCAGAACGAGACAACTGGAAGGCCATCAATAGCAAATCTGCAGTTAGAGGTTTTAGCTGTATTTTGGCACACAGGCTCAGCTTCTTCAATCAATGCACATTTCTAGGCCTTTCTGTGGGCCAGTTCTATTTTGGTTTATGCACATGGGATGTTAGTGCAGCATGGTCATGAATGCAAATTCCACCAGTCTCTTTGCAAGAATAACCACTTGAAGCAGGTAAGCAGAGATAATAAAATAGGTATGAATCCACAGTCAAAGAAAACTACTTTCTCAGGGATATTAATATTCTGGGGGGTGTTAGCAATATTTAATGTTAATATTACCAAGACTGCAGTATTATTTTTTGGGGGGGTTTTATCTAGAATTAACAAGCTGAGCAAAACAATGGCAAGTACCTGACATTATATGAACCTTTCATATACCGTTCATATATGAACACTCATTTGACAGAGTGAGGTTTAAAAGACCATTGGTTTCAACTTGCATGTGGTTGACCAACAAGGATACACATCTGAACAATATCTGAATTTGATCTAGCCTTATTTAAAGCTAAAATATTTTAGAATGCTAATTCAAAAGCATTTGTCGAAAGCTATTGATCTGTTGCTTGAAGTCAATATATTACGAAATACAGGATTATAAACTCTTGGGGGTTTTTCTGTTGGGATATTTGTTGGCTCTATAGTACCCACAACAACTGGGCTTTGCTTTCTAGTTGGGAACTGGTGGTTTGCATTACTGGAAGACAAATAATGCATCTTGGCTTTGGCAAGGCGACATGACATGAAATGTCCCAACAGCAGAGAGCTCTGTTTGCTAATAAATTCTTTTTAATGAATCAATATGGTTGAGAAGACAGGCAAACCTAGCCTTTTTGTCTCTGCTCTGTATTTTCTCTTGATGCTCCGAACTACATGCCCTACAATGGAGATATTTTTAATACATCAAAAAGGTAAGCAAGGCAGGTGATGGTTTTCTCCTGGCCAGGGCTCTGCTCAGCAGTAAGTGAAGATGAAGTTGCTCTAGCATTCCTATCCCTGATCACCTGAGGATCCTGGGCATGCACACTTGCTGAAGAGGAAGGGTTAACACAGACTGTTTCTTGAGGATCTCCGCAAATCCTCAAATCCAGTATATAAAGGCAGGGGGGATCCTGGGGTTATTTAGACACATTTCAAAGAGCTCTGTCTACTACAAGAAATCCACAAAGGACTAACAAAAGTTAATGCTATTCCTAGCCTTTTGAGCAGTTAAATTTAAGAGGTCTCCAGGGGCAGACTAATGCCCACCTACCATCTCTGCGCTCCCTTTTAACTGCTACTTCCATGTGACATTTATTGCTGTGAGTTTTTGCAGCTGGGTAACTGAATTAGCACATGCTTTGATGTTACAGCATCCCCCACTTTGCCACCCACATCCTCCTAGCCCACTGCAAACAAGACAGGTGAACTGAAAAGATCACAAGCATTTCCTGTGGCATGGCCCAAAACCTCCCTCAGCCCATTCTCAGCAGCATGCCACGCTCTGTTTCTGATCCCTCCCACTTTGCCAGCACTTTATTTCAAAGGCATGACACAGGAGCACTGTCACCTTCCTACACAGGTCTGGCCACAGGAAGAGGAGAGCAGACCAAGCGCTTTTTCAGACAACGAGAGCAGCAGCACAAGAAACGCAAGGAGCTGTTACCTTTCACCACAGCACGGCTCCTGCAAGGGCTGTGCTAGCAGGCTGCTGTAGCAGGCAGGATTTGCTGAGAAAAGAGCCTGTGCACTGAACTGCTTTTCCCATGAGAAAGCTGCACGACCAGAAGTCATGCTATTTACTCCAGTCATCCGACTACAAAAGCAACTTTTGAAATCTACAGGTCATAAACTTTTAATTGGCCAGGGCAGAGTGGCTCAGTAGAAAATCCCCCTTCTCCCTCCCCTCTGGGCAACGAGCTAAGCATGACTCTTGGTTTAAAAACATTTAACTCTTTTTGCTCGAAGTAACATGGAAAATGCATCCACATTACAGATAGTCAGGAAGATACAGTTCATAAAAATAATGCTGCAAGAATAGTGTATTAGTGGCACTTCACAGCAATTCTTAACATTTTCAGATGTAGTGTCAAAACCAATGCTTTTGTATATCTGCAAGTCACAGCATGTTGCCAAATATTATGTGAACAGAAATAATCCCGTAAGAAATACCTTTTTTTGCAGTTAACACAAAACTGTAAACTGGATTGGTGTGTGCCTTTCAGCATCAAATTGTTCAGTAATAAATACGACTAAGTCATAACAGACTGTGGAGTCAAAGTTCCCTTAGTGTCCTGTTTTTAGCAGCTGTTGAATGTTCAGGGATGCACAAAGGCACACCTCTGCAGATTCTCTACCTTTATTATTGACATATTAAAAAAAGTCCATTCAGCACTGAAAAATGTTTATCTGCATAGTAAGAATTTTTCTACTACTATTTACAAGAAGGATTTTTAGTGCAAAAAAACAGGAAGTGACGTATTAGCTCAAATGTATCAAGTATACAGTTTCACTAAAAACTAGCCAGCATCACATCTTGGGCCGCCAGCCATTAATGAACTGTAGTATTTTCTTAACCTGCAATTTGCTTAGCTTGAAGTCTTCTGATAGGATTTCTTCTGTAAGCTGAACCAGTAAATTGCCATCAATCTTCTCTGTGACAAAAAATGTTATGACATCTTCTGACAGACCAATAAACCTCAATGATTTAGACACTTCCTCTATAGAGAGTCCAGAAAGGTCTGTGGGTGGCTGCCAGGGGGAGCCATCCCCACAAGACCTTGGTGCTAACTGGAGATGGAGAGGAGATGAGAAGGGGTAAGACACAGAGAATGTATCCTGCATGCCCTTTTTAGCCAGATACTGATCTTCCAAGACGACTGCAGAGCCAGCTTTTGATTCCTCCTCAGCACCATCGATTTTCAGTGGCAAGGGAGACATGTCTGTAACTGTCTTATCTTCACTTGACTTCGGTGCCCGAGGAGGTAAGGCAGGACACGAATGGCTCTGCTTTGTGTTGCTGACTCCCAGAGTTTTCTCATCAGTGCAGTCTAGAGAGTAACTTGCTGACTTTGGACAGCTGGAGATGGTGTTTGTGAACTCTGCTGGAGTCAGCGGGGAGTACCCTGTTGGGAGCTCACATCCATCGAAGTCAAAAGTCAAAGGTGCTGGACAATTTCTCTTTGGCGTACCTGGGGTCTTCTGTCTGGGGTAACTGTAGCTCCTGCTTGGATCAAGGAGGAACTCACTCCTATTCAGGCCTTCAGCAGTTCCTGAAAAATGGTTTGGCCAAGATAACCTCGAAGGCAGAGCTTCAGCTGAGGGGCTTCCCAAAGGCATTGTGCTCTCAGGCTCTTTGGATTCAGTTTTCATCATGTTACATGGGTAGCAGGAAACAGGTGTGCTCTCAGTCAGGTTGGTGTTGTCGCTTTCTGTGACATTACTTGAGGAACAAAGCAGAAAAGATGTTGTTAGTAAGAGAAAAATTGGCATTTCAATAAACTCATAAATCATCTGATAGGTGGTGACCATCACAAGGAAACAATCTTCTTTCCTCCTGCAGAACTTTTCACATTTGAATTAACATGTTTGAATTAATGTATTGAGAGTTCCTTCACCCCTTCTACAAGCCTGACAAGATGCTGATATACCCAAAAGCCCCATGTCTTGTTTTTTCAAGGTCATAAAAAAGTTGATGCCTCAATTCAGTTCTGTGTTATCTCACAAATCCAGTTTTTCACTGCTGAATTTCTGAGGGATACCACCACGGATAAGAAACAGTCTCACATACACTAGAAAGATGTTCTAATCCAGCACTTTTATATATATATATACCACAGATGTGTCATGGTATGCAAAAGCTCGTATGAGGACAGGTCACCACTGCCCTAGGCCATGTGAACCAGTGCAGAGTACAGAGACAACAGAGTGAGTTAATGCTCACTGCCAAAAGAAGAGTTTTATCTGGAAGGGTAAGCAGACCTGGCTGGATGTGCTTTAAGCTTACTCAGAGTAACTTTTTGGTGTGTCTGGATCTTTAACAAGCTTTGATGTTAAACACTTGCTCTTCAAAGGCACCTAAAGAAAGTTACCCTGGATCCACATCCAGGTGGTGAACTAAGCTCAGCCTGTCCAAGGGAACTGATGGTTTATATCCAGGTGTTCCCAAGAGACGGAGATGACAACAAAAGGGCACAACCTGTTATAAAAAGCAAATGTTTGCTGATTTTATGACACTTTCTAAAAGAAAATCTGAAAGATTGCGCTGATCTTTGGAATTTTGGGCAACTAAACCAGAACACTAAAAAATAATTAGCAGACTTATAAAATCCTTACTCAACACAACAGACAGAAAACAACAGTTGAAAAAAATGTTTTAATGACTTGCCTCTCTCTCCTGAAAACTAACTACTCAAGTAAAAACTCAGTAGTCACCCCATGACAGCTCAGTGAACACTGCTTGAGAATGGATCAAGTTATCAAAATGGATCAATGGAGCTATCAAAAAACCAGCACAGTTTTCAATGGATTGACACAAAATTACTTCCTTGTGTGCTTACAGTGGATCAGAGAGGGCAATCTGGACTTGCCCAGATCAAATACAATGTGCAGATGTGTAAAAACAGCCCTAATCTGCATTGCTGGAAAATATCTGTCCCAACAAATGCAGTTTCCTTCTTTCTAACCATCTCTCAGTCTCCATTCTGTGCCTTCCAAACTTTTCCTCTGTTTATGTCACTAATACAAGTCTGACAGGTAAAGCAGCTAGATGTTTTTAATATGAGACAAGGAGTTTTGCCCCCTCAACAGGGATACACCATCAATTAGTTATTTCTGGTTGCTTAAAGGCCAACTGGTATATTGCACACAGTGAAAATCATTTTTCACAAACCCAGTCATCAAGCTGAGAAAACAGTCAGTGAGGTGGTTTAAACAACATGCAGAACAGCTGTTCTCCAATTCCATACTAGACCTGGAACATTTATTGAGTTCAAAGATTAATGGAATTTCTGAAAACTGATGAAGTAACATTTTAACATTTTCAAAGTGCTTCCTTACTTGGCCTCCACTAAAATGAACTGCCTGGGACACAGTGTGAAAGGATGCAAGACAAGCCTCAAATACAGCTGAAGTCAGGTATCAGGCATTTTTAGAGGCAGATAAGGACAAATCATACTAACTTTGTTTCTGTTTAAAATACTGTCTGCAGCCCTTCATATCCAGAAAACAAGTTTATTGATATAAATGGCAAAGCAATCTGGTTATTCCACACAATGGCAATTTTCTAGTAGCTTCCTCTGCAACACCAGGTCAGCTCTACCAAAACAGAGACGTCTGGTCTGGACCCACCTGGAGAAGAATTTCATGCAAATACTGTGAAAGTCAAGGCAAATCATACAATCACAGAATTATTTAGGTTGGAAAAGACCTCTAAGATCATCAATCCAACCATTAATCCAGCACTGCCAAGTCCACACCAAACCATGTCCCCAAGTGACACATCTACACTTTTTTTGAACACTTCCAGGCATAGTGACTCCAACACTTCCCTAAGCAGCCTGTTCTAATGCTTGACAGCCCTTTCCATGAAGAAATTTTTCCTAACATCCAATCTAAACCTCCCCTGATGCAGCTCGAGGCTTTTTCTTCTCATTTTATTGCTTGTTAGCTGGGAGAAAAGACTGACCCTCACCTCACTATAACTTTTTGCATTCTTGAGAAACTTCACTTCTGTTTTCCTAGTTTTTGCTCTAGTTTTTGGCAGATGTATTCTTAGCTACAAAGAGAGAAAGCAGCATTTGGTGGGCCCCTAAAACTGGGAGGTCTTGTGCTCAGCCTCCTGTGGAGTAGACCTTGACAGAACTACCCAAAAGGCTTTCATAAAATAAGCAAGCAGCCTTGATCTAGAGTGATCATTGCCAGATCCACAACACTAAGCTGCAAATGTGCAGTATGACTTAGTAAGGCAATTTCAGAGTAAGTTATTATACCAACTGTATCCAGGCTAAAATTAATCCAGTGATGTTTTGGATGAATTTATAATTGTATAGCATTGTGTTATTGAAGAGGTACCAAAAATAATGGCAAGAAGACATCCAAGGCAAAAAGGAGGTGAGGCTTCAGAATGTGTATTTCCTTTCTGAAGCCAAAGGAAGGACACTGTACCACCAAGAAAGGCTATGCAGCCACATAATTCAGAATTTACTGTCAACTTTCAGCTAGCCTCGGTGGATTTTCCGGATTGTGGGTTGGGTTTGTGCTGAAGTGTTTTTGATGTGGAAGCTGTCTGGCCCCCTTCTGCTACACCTTGCTTAGCACTCAGTGGTGTCTGCTGGTCTTTCTGTCCTCCATCACATCCACCCTGTAGGTGTCCATATAGTTAGTACAACACATTTCTGGATTACCACACTCTTTTTGTGTCCCTGAATATCAGAGCTGGCTGCACTGCATGCAACACTGAAATCCCAAAAACTAGCATTGAGGTGGTCTGGTTTGAAGATTCAAGCCTTTAAAGAAACATGGAGAACTATACATGATCTTTTAATTAGACAGCCTATGTCACCTAAGAGTGATATTACGTCTAGCAATGCACGCAGGTGTTTAATATAAACTCCTATGTCCTATCTAGTAAAACATAGTTTCTGCTGGAGCTTTTCTTCCTTTTGAATCTTTCAAAACAACTTGACAGGTTAGCCCGTTTTACTGCAAGTCTGACACCACACTGTGCCTTAGAAACACATGCCTTCAAAAAGAACAGTGGTAAATTTAACTTTCTCAGAAAGTGCTAGCACGGTGCTCCCACAGCTCAAACACATACATGTTGTGCAGTCCTGAAGAGTAGTAGGACAGAGTGGGGCTGGGAGAGCGGGTCTGCTGTCGAGCAGGCTTCACTGTGCGAGGAGGGATGGAAGGACTGGTGGAGGATGGCTTTGAACTCCGCGGTGGGACTGGGGGAGCGTTGAGGAGCCTGCATTCCTCTTTCACCTGTACAAAAGAAGAACATGTAAGCAAGCAGCAAGAAAATCTGGGCAACAGAAGCCTCAACCAGATGAAGCACATCTGGTTCTGCCTGATTCTTTGAAAGGAAATAATTAAAAAGGAGAATAGAGAAATGAAAAAGTATATACATTTGCAACAGTATATAGCTGTCAAGGAAGTCCAAAAGAATGCTTTGCCACTGGTAGAATGACCAGCAATCTTTTTTAGGGCACATTTCAGCAGTTTGATAGCCACTCATTTAAAAAGTAACAGCAACAAAACTATGTAAAAGAACATTCCAATAACACAGAAAATCAGACAGACTGTTCCTGATATTATACATTCTGTAAGGAGCAATTCATTACACCTAAACTTCATTAGTGTTGTTTATTTAGATGTAATAAACCAAGCTTATGTAATGAAAAGACCTCAATATACTTTGATGTTTCCTGACTTACTTCACCAGTGATAGTCAGTCATCCAACTCTACGATGATTGCCAGCCTCCCTCCCTCAGGAATAGTACATTTATCTCATATTTACCAGCTTCTGGATTCAAACTAGGAGCTTCAGTCCTTCTGTTGCTGCCAAAGCAGTGCAGGAAAAGGCTGCCCAAAATGTACAAGTGGAAAGGTGTACACCCAGCCAACAGGTCTGCTCTATGCAGCCAGACACCCTCGCAGCTTAAAACACACAGTTGTAGCAATGAGCACCTGAAGTTTAGTGTGGTGTGTCTGCACAGGAGCAAAATATCAGGATCCATCCCCATAAAAAATATGATGGAGTTAAGGACTTAATCTCATCAGGACATATTTGGGAGAGCAACTTTTTTTAGTAAGGCTAGAGGTGAGAAGGCTGCTGAGAATTCGGGTGCCAGGCAGGATTTTAACGATTCACCACCTGCCCCTGGGCAGGAGGAGACCTCTATGTTCTCCTTGTCTGAAACAGTCTTAGATGCATCAGAAAAAGGAAATTGTTTTTGTGTTTGAAAGTTGCAGTTTATTTTTAAATTTTACAACACTGCAGAACTAAAAGTTATCTTAGCAGTTCTGCAACACATAATTAGCAATTAAAGTGATGTAATTTATTTAAAAACAAAATAAATGTGGAACCTTTTGCAATCCACTTCAATGCTTTCAAAATGCAACAACATATTTAGTACTTTTGACAAATGGAAAACTGGGGACTAGGACACTGTAGTACATTTTTTCCTTAATTCAAAACAAGTCAAAATTACAGGAAATGCCCGTCAGCATAAAACACTGAAATAAATCTTGTTCTAAGGGATCTTATTTGGTCTTTCAAAGAAAGGGGAAAATAATGAATCAATTTTATTCATGTTTGTTATTGAATTCAGGCATAAAATTCTTCAGCCATTTTAGTACTGCGCCCCAAGGATGCCTGAAGACTTTTTCTCCCCCCAAATCAGAATAGGCAAAGTTAATAGTGAATGCTATTGAATATATATCCATGGGGTTACAGAGACCATTCAGGGGAGCTCTTGGAGCACAGCAGATGGTCAAAGGCTTAAAGCTTTTCTTTCCTGGGAAGACTGAGGAATTCAAAGGTGCTGGCATAAAAAACTGCCAAACTCCCTTGCTTGACCCAGATTACAGATCAGAATGAAGCCATAAATAATACCTGTTTACAGTCCCAATTGCTCCTTGTCACAAAACCACAATTACAGCTGCCACACACAGTCCCCAGGAAACCCAGCAGAGGAATAAAAAGAGAGATTTTGCAGATTATACTGACAAGAGCAAGGGGAAGCTTCAAGAAAGCCATTCTCACTAGGCCAAAGAGAATGGCAATTAAATAAATGCAGGAGATGAGTGGAACAGCCAGGGTGTGATAGGACGATGTCCTCGATGGCTGCTGCTCTTAGCTTGAAATACTCTTTGCCCTGGAAGCGCTAGATGTCACGTGGCTGTCAGATAGAGATAAAACACCTGAAACTTCTATTCGACACTGAGCTCTCTCATGCTCCAATCCTCTTTCCTGTGACCGAGGAATGGTGACCTGTTTCCAATGGCATGAGGTGCTATGTTGATTTTAAGACCTCTGCTCCATTTCCTTGTTGCCAGCCCAAGCCTCGCCAGCACCACCTGGGCCCTGGGGTGTTATTGCTGAATCTGGGCATCACGGGTGCCCATTGCAGTGACCAGCTCTGAGGCTGGCTGGATAAAACCTGCCCTGTCACAGCTTGACTGGGGGCATAACACAGAGCAGCTCCACACTCCTTGCCACAGGAGCCTGAACTTCCGGCACACTCCATTAGGGATGTGCTTTGTATCAATCAGGAAAACAGCTTCTGATGTTATGCAAATTAGTGTTTGGGGAATGAAGAAATTGCTGATTGACAGGCCTTAATTCAGAGTTTATTTCCCCCCTCCTCTGCCTCCTGCCTTCACACTACTTTGATTTTCTGAAAGGTATTTAGAAAATACACATAATGTATCATAAGGCTTCATCCTGCTGGAGAGAAGAAAACCAGAACAGCTTCTGAAATACCCAGATGTCCTTTCCCATCCTGCAAACAGCTCCTGAACACACATTTTAAATTTAGTGCAAAAATACAATTGCTGGCCAACCTTTACACAGAAATGCTATGGAATATCATTCCAGAGGGAGTGATGACTAAACCACATGTTCACCAGCAGCTCCTGAGATCTACTTACTCTATAAATACCTACATGGAAACCATGCAAACGTCTCCTCGGCCCCAGCCCACAGATGAATTCTGTAGGTCACTGATACTCACTCCAAAGCTATTCCAGGAAGCCATAAAAGAAAGTCTGCATTATTATAATCTATGAAAATGTAGGTTTTTAGTTTTGTTTTATTTTTAATGGGGTTACACCCCCTGCCCACCTCTAAATCCCAGCTAATTTCTTCAGCAGAAATTATTTCTCCAAAATGGCTAGAAAGCTACACTGAAATTGCTGACAGCATTCACACAGTACCTCAGTAATGTAAGACACACATGACAAAATTGCACGCTTTCCAAAATAACTCTAAAGGGCAACATACACATCTACCCCAAGTGTCACCCTGCTGTCCCCAAAAGGGACTCATGGGGATTCCCCAGGTATGAGGGCTCACAGTGATGCTGTGCAGGTGCTCCACAGCTTTCCCAGCACTCCAGTACCCACACCTCAGGCATAAGACCCTCATGTCTCAGGCATGACCCACGCACAGCACCCCCATGCCACAAGGGCTGCCCTCACCTCGCTGCGGGGGCAGCCTTCCTCCCCCACCACCCACCTCCCAGCACTCCTATGACCCTGTGCAGAAGCAGTTCAGCTCACAGAAATCAGCAGGAAACAAATCATTTTCCAGATCCAGACCTGGCTGCCTTCCCAGGCACAGGAGTGCCAGAGCCAGCACAAAAGGGAAGCCAGGACGATGCGTCTGGGAAAGGAGGAGGAGGAGGTGGAGGAGGGTGGGACTAGCCCCACTCCAGTTAACATCAGCACAGGCTGCCAGGGAGCCTCATCTCCATATGGTGCTGCTGGGCACTTGTCCAAGAGTCTGGACAAAGTGTCAGTGCATACCTGACCTCAGAGGCAAGGAAGTGCTCTTGGGTTTCTGCACTTAACATTGCACGTAAACACTGTGCTAAGAAGACATAATGTCTTGCCTTTCCTGGCTGCTGCAAAGCTGCTGCGTTTGCTTTTCGGGGAAGTTTTGGTGGCAGTCCAAGGGCTGTAGTTGGGCATTTTGTGCCTGCAAGTGTCCTCCTCCCCTCTCCTCGCTGCACCTGCCTGGCCAGGGGCATCCCCACAGAAATCCACTGCAGGCTGACCCAGCATGAATGAACACACCTTAGTTTTCAACCAGGCTGTGACCCAACTTATGAGGGGAAGGCTACAGCCAGCACTACTGGACTGTTAGATGGCAATAGGAAAAGTATAGGATAATCACGGTTTGTTGCAGTTTTGTCTCAAATTAGTCTTAATTTACTGTACAGCCATGGTCTTCAAACCACCATAGGGCTTGCAAGTGGAATGATATTTTTTTTAAATCCAGAAAAACTCCTGCAAAACAAATTTGTTAAATAATGATAAAAACCAAGATTCATGCTATATCTGTATCACTGACATTTCACTAAAGACTCCTAGACACACTTCCCTGTGGGAATCTTCTTTTTTCCTTTTTTTCCTTTCTTTTCTTTTTTTTTTTTTTTTTTTTTAATAAGGCTTAGGACTATGTCAAGAGACCACATAATGGGTGGATTCTCCAGCCAGGCCACATAAGCTCCTATTAATAAAAAACATTTGCATTTTTCGCTCCTAAGTCTCCATGACATTTCAGGCTTGGAGAAGTGATTTCTCCCGTGAGTTTTCATTAAAAACCTTAGGCCAGGAAACATGCTCTGTTTGCAACTTAGTCCTCTAGAAGGCTCATTTATCAATTCTGCAGACCTCCTATTTAAAAATCTTTTCTTTCAATTAGTAGTAGAGAGCAATTAGTTCTGGTCTAGTTTGATAAAGGACAATGACAATGACACAATATTCTTCAAAATCTGCTATAGGGTCATAATAGAGAAGACAATCTCTCATTAATAAACTCTTCAAATCTGTAAAAATTCTAGCTGTTCTAATTATCAGAGCCTGTTAATTGAAGATACACTAAGGCAATCTGAGGCATTTCCAAGTGGGTCATGCCCCACACACTCTGGCCACAGAAGATAGGAGAAAACATGGAGGTCACATGGAGAGATGATGTGGAAAGCAAGAGAATGAAGTGACTCAGCAATTCGTGTTTGTGTGAGCAAGAAACCCAAATTAAATATCACTGGAAAGTATCAGGATTAAGCTATTAGATCAAGAATATTAAATATACTCCTGTGATTTTTAAGACATACACAGGGTAGGAAACTAGCTAAAGTGGCACATCTTGCAAAGTCTGACTGTTCCCTTGCCCTTTATGTGCCCCTCCTTTCTCCACCACATTCACTAAAAAGATCTGCATGCAAACTCATCACCACCTAAAAAAAGAAACAAACACAAATAACCCCAACTTACTGCTTCTGATTTGGGAGGCACTGGAGGTGGAGGTAGGGAAACATCTGAAGACTTTGTGTTTGTTCCGATAGTTGCAGGCACAGGAAGAGACGCGGAACCACACTTTGATCGGAAAGATCCTCTGTAGTTGTCACACTTGTTCTCACTAAGCGAGCACGAGAGAGGCTGATCACCACCCTTTCCAGATCCTTGGTCCAACCAGAGCTCTTCATAAGGAAGTTCCGGTTTCGTAGGCAGAAACATCGATTCTTCGCTAACTTCAGGGAAAAGGTAATCACTGCTACTGTCCCCGGACTCCTGGTACTGAAGGGCATCGTGAGAGAACAGCGCCCACTCGTTACACAAGTCCCTGCAGCCATGGAGGTTCACCTCGCTGTTCCCATGCAAGTTGTTTCCATAGACGCACACGGAGAGCCGGTGGAAGGACTGCGTGAGCTCGTCCCGTGCGTAGCTGAGGGAGTTTGGCACGTGGCTGTGCCCCGCACACCGGCTCTTCTTCGGGCTCTTGCAGTCGTCGTTCCAGTCAGTCTTTACATCTCGCACAGCACGGGAATACTCGTCTATGTCAAACTGTTCCTGGCATATATTAAACCAGTGCTGGATGAGGGGTTCGTGCCACAGCTCCCCCTTCACCACACTATCAGGTAGAATAAATTTCGGAAGTGTCAAGTGCAAGGGAAAATGCATGGGAATGATTTTGTTTCCACGAAGCACGCAACAAACTACCACAGTCTTGGTCTGAATGTTGACAAACTTGTACCTGTGCCCCTCACGGATAAAATGCAGGTCATAAGGGTTTCTTGGTGTAGGACTTGGCACAGTAACGTTAACAGGCAGCCTGGTTTTTTCTACTATATTGCGAATTGTGTGCTCCCCTTCTTGCATCTGCACCTCCAGTGGGCTGCGGGTGCTGAACTTGCCCTTACACTGGAAAGGGAGACTGATGCTCTCGTTGGTCCTGTGGTTCATGCAGATGAGGCAGGGCATCTTGCCTCTGCCTAGCTTACTAATTGAATTAAGCTTCCCGATTTTTTTGAAGATGGTGTTGAGTCGTGACTTCTCCTTAGAAGATTTTGCATAAAGGATTTCTGCTTGCCCCATTAAAGTGAGCTCATCCCCAGTACTAAGGGTAATGTTGTAAACTTCAGTGTCTTCATTGCATTCACCTGAAGCTACCTGCAAAATAATAATTAAAAAATTTATCTTCCCCCAATGAAGACAATACTTCAAATCACATTGTATCTCTTGAGACTGAACTTACAAGACTATGTATTGTAAAAAATGAAAGTAGCTATATTTGAACAGCTGACCGGTCAAGTGCGAGGTGTTTACGTTGAAGCTCAGCTAAATAGCCTTTCTAAATTGTTCAGCACATTCCTGCATCTTACTTGAGAGGAAAGAGCCACCTGAAACTGCCAAAGAAGGCATGAGAATAAACATAACCATTTTTTAAAGAAAGGGCAAATCCACATATCCCAGTTATATCCCCATGTAGCAGTTGAAATAGCCGCTTGTGTCATACAGCTATGACAGACCATGTCTAGATTCCTTTGGGTATCTTTTCCCACCTTTGTTTTTTGCTGTTTGCAAAAACAGAACTTATTTGCCAGGCTCTTGAGGGAAACAAACTTCTTTCACCATCTCCAGCTCCCTGAGGAGCAGAAAAGGTGATTTCATCATTACAGATGAAGCATATCCCTTTGATATATTTTTTTCCAGGCTAGGGGGAATGACAGATGACATCTATTCCATGAAGGAGAAATCAAGATTATCAGTCTATCCCATATGCCTAACTCCCCCCTGCTTTGCTCTCCTAGTCATAGACTTCCTTCCTCATTTTTTGATCATAATTGCAATTTAAGAGATTAAACAACATATGCACAGCCATGTGTGAGCTTTTCTAGTATGGAAATTGTACCCGGAAAAAACCCCCAACAAAACAGATGTCCAAGGCTCATTTGCTCCCGAAGTTACTTCCTTATGACTGAAATAACTCTTTATAGACAAGATTACTCTGCCTCATATTTGAGTGGTTTAACGTGAAAAGCCATTTTCAGGGACCTAACAGAACCCACCCAATTCTTTGGTAGCAGCAGATTCCTACCCATAAATGAAGGTGCACCGGATATACACTATTGGTCTGTTATAGACTATTTTATTTGAGAAATTGAACATACTAAAGAAATTGCCAATGAAAACATAAGCTAAAATTGTATATCCCTTCTTCACCTCCAAAACTCCTAAAGACTTCATGGACTTGAGTGAAGTCCAAAAGTCCAGGCTTCAAACCCTGGTATCATCACACAATAGCCACTGCATGAAATCAAAGCTGTAATTCCAGTAAGTCAATAACCAACAAGCACAGTGAATAATTCTTCCTCTTGTAAGACATGACCTGTATTTGCAGAACTGTGATTCTTCTGGAAGCCAGAATTGCAGTTGCACAGGATTAATTGCACAGGCAGCTCAGGCGAGGTGTGCCGCCTTAGCACTTCAGGCTTGGGGCTTCCGGAGAGGAAGTCATTCAAAGCTTGAATTATCTAAACAAACACTAATTGGTCTAATCCAGGAAACCACTAGGGTTTATGGTACGTAATACTCATTCACAGCTTGCGCCACTGGTCTGGCAGCATTTGAAACACTACAATGTGAAATGAAAGCACTGAGGGCTCTTTTGCTGATAAGGCTCATGTCATGTCCATTGCTGGTTTCTCCTCAAACTGTCACAGAGCGCTGCACTGGAGCTGCAGCCACACAGCCCTGCCTTCGAGGGGCTGATAAGGGCTGAGATTGCCTGTACCATGCAATCTTCCCCTTTCCTTTCTGAGAGGGTGTTTTCTCTAAGAATATTGGTTTCTAGAATCAACAAGTCCCCGCAAATGGCTGCTTTGACAATGCCAGCTACACTGTTGAACTCTTCACTCAATGCTGCACGATCACAGCTTTTTCTCACTACTTGTGGGACACTGTCCCAAGCAAGGGAGGTGTCACATCCTACAGCTGTGGGAGTTCCTCCTCGACCAACTTACAGCTCCCTGGTGATTCACAAACAAACGAGCCACTGTGGGAGGAAACGGTGGGTCAGATGTGAAACCACAGAGGTAACTAAACGGCTGAGCTTTACAGTGAAGGTCTTGTGGAGCAGCTACTTATTGATGTCATCCACTTCAACCAGCCAAATAGCAAATGGGCTTTTAGAGTCAACTGACATGTTTAAAGACAAAATTATTTTCAATTAAAAACATTGGAAAACATTTTTTTCATTGTTAAAAAAAATATAGTCACAGGATCATTGCAGGTGAAATAAGGCTGAATTTAACCCTGAATCAGTGTACAGATGGGGGAATCAGATACTGGAGAGCAGCATGGTAGAAAGGGAGTCCTGGTTGATGGCAAGTTGAACATGAGTCAGCAGTGTCCTGGCAACCAGGAGAGACAACTGCGTCCTGGGGTGCATCAGTCAGAGCATTGTCAGCATCAGGCAAGGGAGGGGATGGTCCTGCTCTGCTCTGGAGTGGCCTCACCTCGAGTGCTGGGGGCAGTTTTGGGTGCCACAATATAAAAAAAGACATTAGGCTCTTAGAGAGCATCCAAAGGAGGGCTTTGAGGATGGCAAAGGACTTTGAGGAGAAGCTGTATGAGGAACAGCTGAGGTCACTTGGTCTGTTCAGCCTGGAGGAGACTGAGGGGAGACCTCATTGCAATTACAACTTCCTCATGAGGGGAAGAGCAGGGGCAGACACTGATCTCTGTGTGATCAGTGACAGGACTCATGGCCTGAAGTTGTGTCAGGGGAGGTTTAGGTTCGATATCAGGTAAAGATTTTTCCCCCAGAGGGTGGTTGGGCACCGGAACAGACTCTCCAGGGAAGTGGTCACAGCAGCAAGCCTGACAAAAGTTCAAGAAGCATTTGGACAATGCTCTCAGGCACATGATGTGATTCTTGGGGTGTCCTGTGCGAGGCAAGGAGTTGGACTTTAAGTTCCTCATGAGTCCCTTCCAACTCAGTATATTCTATGATATTTTATGAAAAGAAAGATGAGGCCATAGTTCTAGTTTAGCACTCTGAGAGAAATACTGTTTTGCATTCTTTCTTCTAAACAAAGATATAAGGTATCAGTTGTTGCTCAAAATGATAATAAAAATCAAAAACACGAAATTAAAAGTCTAAGACCTCAGAAATTTATCTACTAAATTCAACTTATGGTGATGTTAAGATTGCTGATATATCCCACTGGGCAGCTTATACTTTAAAATTGGTAGGTAAATGGCAGGTAAATATGTTTTACAGCATATGGGCAACAAAGATATACCATACATATCACATATCTCTCAATACATGTAACAGTGCATATATACTGCTCAGCTTTTGTTCTGAAGATTACAAAGGCTAAAGATCATTAGGCTAAATGATCCTTACTTTGTCCTTGTAGCAATGACATATGAAAATCAGACTTGCTCTGTCTTGTTCAAACATTTCACTTTATCAGTGGCCACAAAACTTTACAGAAAAATCAACAAAGAGCCATGGACTTTAGCTGGCTTTACACTGCCTTGGTGAGCTTCACAGGGCCTCCAGAAGTCCAGGAATTAGTCATGCAGAACATTTCCTAAGAACAGATGGGAGAGGAGGAAATGGCCTCAAGTTGCACCAGAGGAGGTTTAGATTGGATATCTGGTATTTTATCAAAAGGGTTGTCATTCACCGGAACAGGCTTCCCAGGAAAGTGGTTGTGTCACCATTCCTGGAAGCATTTATAAGACGTGAGGATGTGGCACTTGGGGACATAGTTTACTGGTGGACTTGGCAGTGCTGAGCTAATAGATGGACTTGATGATCTCAGAGGTCTCTTCTGACCTAAATGATTCTATGGTTCTATGCCAAATAGTACACTTATAGACAACATGAAAGTGCATATCATAAATTATTCCTAGAAGGCAGAAGGACCACACCAGACCCATCTCACTCTACCCTCTAAGCTTTCAGCACCAACCCAGCAGGATTTGCATCTTCACAACCCTGCTGAGAGCATTCTCTGGGCCCCCTCTGCTTCCTGCTGTGCAGTTGCTGGTAGGGTGTAGCAGAGCCTTACACTATTTCAGACACTTGGACCTGCTAGCGGCAGGTCCCAGCTGGTGCAGGTGACACAGCATATCTCTGGTATATGACAGACACAAGACAGCAGTGCACAGTGGAAGAGTTAACGTGGTCCAGATCACAGACTAGTGCAGAAAAAATCATACATTTTTGAGGTAAACTCCTAAAATCTTATAATAATTCTGGAAAAGAGGTAACACTCGGCAGAAAACATCCAAGAGGCTTTCACTCAGCTGCATCACATATCCACGGCGGGCTTTATACATTTTAACAATAATGTTTCATGCACTGTAAAAACTCCTGCAGTTTTACTTTGCACTCACCCCTCTTCTGCTCTTCTCAGTTTTCATTGGTAACAGGTGAGAATAACCAGTGATCCCAGCTTTATGAAAGAGGCAGTGCTACCCACACTACACTGCCAACACCATCTAGGAATCAGTAGTAGATATTCGAGCTGAGCAATGATCCAGAATTTCCTCCCTGATGTACCTGCCTTCTCCTTCCAACTGCCAGCTGTTAATCCATACTATCTGTTCACTGTTGATGCTAGGATACTGACCAGAAAGTTTACAGGCACACAGACACCTTACCAAACACACTGTAAAACAGCAGTGGTGTAAGTCACTGTAATATTTTATATTTTAAGATTCATGCAATTTCACTAACATTGAAAAGCCATTGAAAATCCTGCAGAAGACAGGCATCAGAAAAGCAATGAATGATTATTTAGGAAACTGTGTTTTGGAAAAGCTTGGGTATAATCTTTCTTTTGCTTAAGGAAAGGCTAACTAGCAGTAATAGATTTTTGGTAACACCTGAGTCAATATGCTGTCTTGGACTCCAATTGTTCTAATTTGTTATAATTCGAAGCAGAAGCCTTTAACTGGACACATAAGAACACCTTTATAAAAATGATTTGTGGCTTCATATAGGTTGGTATAACTGCTAGATTTTATTCAATTAATGCAAATATTGCTTTCACTTTAAAAATACAATTAGGATTTTTTTTGTTAGAGCTTTTTGTTACTGTGAAGTCTCTGATTCATAGCTACAGCCTATGGTTTTTACTTAAAACCAATTTGCTTAGGTCCAATTTACTAGGACCAATTGTAGCACTACATATATATTTAATAGATCATATATATTAGATATATATTTTTTTTACAGGTCACAAAAATGAGAAAAGATTTTTAAAATGTAAAACAGTGTCTTCAGAAGAGCTGTTAGCAGAAAAAGAAAAAAATATGAGCAAACATTTTCAAGGAAGTTGGTTAAATTCAATGAGATAGTATCCCATTTTTCTTTTATAAATATCTGTTTCCCAAGACAGAATCAGCAAGTAAAAGTTTTCATGCTAGCATATATCTATTTCCCTCTGGGATAAGAGGGACTTTGCCTAATTGCTACATTAACAGCTGCCTTCAGTGCTCTTTACGGAATGTCTCAAATAAATCAGTGCTCTAAAACTGACCCAAAATGTGGCAGGTAACACTGCAGAGCTGTAACATGAAGTGTCTCTTATGTGGGATGTCAGGAGCACTTGCCATCCAGGCTCCCTTTGGAGCAGGACTCCTCCCACAGGCGCCTCAACCTGGGCACACAGCAGCAGCAGCTCTGCTTTCCTCTGCTTCTCTTAACTCAAGCCACCCACCTTTTTCCAGGAGGAAGAGAGGCAGCCACAGGACAGCAATGCCAATGCAAGACACCGAGGTGTCGAGCCTGCGTGTACTGGGAGCAAAGGGGAAAAAGAAGAAAAAACCCAAACTGCTTGGAACTGACTCTTGCTGCTTTGTAAGGCTGGCATCAAGCCACAAGGCCACTAAAGCACTAATTCTTGAGGTGAAGAATTATGAGTTGCCTGGAAGTCTGGAGCCAAAATCTACACACCACCTCATTTCAAGAAAGTCACTACTGCAGCACTTACGAATGTCACTGTAAGTTACAGCCCACTACATATGTGCTTTATGGCAACTCAGAGTGAGTTTATCAGAGGCACTAGAATTACAACCAGGAAATCAATTTTGCCTCACTGTACTGCATTACCATCTGCCAAAAAAAAAAAAGAAAAGAAAAAAAAGTGCTAAGTTTTCACTACAGATTTCTTTCTGCCAAAGTGCACATAGTATGGGCCAACACGGTTAAATCACTGTGAAAAGAGGATTACATTAAAAAAGATGAACAAATCAGGTATCAGAAGTTCACACCACTCATACAATATCTTTGACAAGTAAGAAAAGAATCATTAGAAGGCTAATTCACTAACCCATTTCTCCATTCTAGAAAGCGTCTGCAAACAGCTTCACAGACTCTCTAGGGAGACCAAATGATGTCTTCAGAACAAAAATGTTATTCTGGAAGATTTGAAGGGTCCTGCAACACTAAGTGAGCTGGTTTTTAGAGTGAAGGAGCTCCTAGTTTGTCCAATGTTCAATCTATCAGAAAATACTGCTGATTTTTTAAGGGAACTTTTTGTGAATTGCCCTCAGTATGATTTGGGTGGGGGGTGGGGATGTGTTTGTTCCTTGTCTTGTTTTTAAGACCTGGTGCAAATAGCTTCCTGGATGTTTGTACACACTGCCATATGTATGAGACCAGAGCAGTTGAAAGCAGAAATCTACTACTGTTGTTTCAGCAAAAGACAGGGTCCTGGGGTAACTCAACATTCTTAGTATTTTGTTCCTAGCAATAGAAAAAAAAAATCTCATATTTGTAGCATAATGCTGTAACATAAACAAAATCTTCTTCAATTATGCACTGAATATTAATACAAAAAGGGTTCTCACCTATCTGGTCAGTGAAGAAAGGACAGAATGCCTCTATTTTTTGAACAGGAAGAAATCAAACTATTGACTGAGTGAAATTCAATTATCCCCAGGACACTCTAAATTACTGTGCTTGTAGATGCTGCCGCGGCCACCACTTGAAACAACCAAGCCGGTATTCAGTGCAGTACATATGGATAAAAAAGTTACAAAGTACTTTCAGCCATTACAAAAGTTTTATTTAACCTAAAATTTTTGTTTGCTAGTCTCTGAAAAGATACTACCTTTCCCTCCTAGGGGCACTGTTACAGTGTGCTCGGGCTATGCTTTTCCCCATTTCCAGGGACCCCTGTGACTCTGATCAGATAAGCCTGGTCCCCTCCTTCCTGCCCTGATGGGGTTGGCGGAGAGCCAGAGAGCCCTCCCTGTCCATCGCCTAGATAAGTCCACGACCCTTCCTGTTCATTCCCTTTCCCCCCTCACCTCATGGAATAAAGAAGCTGGACAACCACATCAGGGTTAGAGCCTCTTTTGAATCTTTGCCCATCTCCTGACATTGCTCCCCTCAAGGCCTCATATCTCTGGGCTAGCCTAATAATTTAGGGGCTGAGAGAGGTAGGAGCATCGGGGCACTTGCTAGCACGTATTACAGCTGTTCTTCAAACACCCATCAGATCCTCAACCTCCTGCCTAGGACACTGCCCAGAAAGCCTATCCAGCTGCAAAACCACAGGGAAGGAAGGGAGAACCATCTCCCCTGCCTCGCCAGGATAAGGTGGCCGAGTTTTCCCTTTAACAACTACTACAAGAAGCAAAAGTAAATAAGCCCCTTGGAAATGATCTTGCAGCCCATTGCAGCGAGAAGGCAGTTTGGTGAATGGCAGCTGTGAAATCTTGCTAGAGCTGCCAAGGATTTACACTCAGGGGCAAGGCTCACACCAAGTGGAATCATAACCGCGGTGTACTGGCACATGCAGGCACACCTCAACAAGCACAGACAAAAGCACGTAGTGACTGTCTGGTCACCTTGGAACTCTACAGGCTCCTTCTTCAAAAATTATCCACTGCAGACTTGAGTGTTTGGAACAAGAAAGAAATCCCAGACTTCAGAGCTCCTTCTCATCTTAAGTGCTTCATCAGATATTTTGGGCACTTTTTTTTTTTTGTTTTTATATCGGATTAGCTACCTTCTGATACTCTCTTCTGAATTTAAACAGGCACACTACATTGGACAGGAATCAACTGTACTTAGTATTCCTCTCTTTGCTCTAATCAGCTTGACAAAATCTCTCCCATATTAAAATTTTAGCGTACATAATTCTCTTGCATGTAAAGGGTTATTAAACACTTTAATAAATCCTGCTAAGTTAATTTATTTTTTGGAAGATGATAACCTTGGAATAGACTTCAATGAAACTGGAAAAACTGCCAAGAGGAATACTGCCAAGATAACTGTATAACTAGGTTAAACCTGGATTATTACTACTGTTATTTACATTAAGGAGTATCACTATAAAACCTTTAAAAATGGATTTCATATCTAACTGAAAGCTATGCTTATTTCTCAGTTTGCTACATATGAAAAAGAGTTTTAAAACCACTCACAGTAAACTCAAGATATGGCATTTTATGTCTAAACAAACCTGTAGACAAATACTTTTTTGCACTAGAAAATCAAAGCTGCACATTCTACTGTGCCATTCTCTTGCCTTGGTCATTAATCAAAAGACAAATAATAGCACAACTCTGGATAAGGCTAGCAGTCACAAGGATTTTTTCTGAGCAGAGATAAAATTTTCTTGTTCCCTTGCCTAAAGATACAGAAGTGTTCCAACTTTCTCACGTAGTCTTCATTCATGAAAGCCTCTGTTTTACAGACCCAGGTTAACGCAGAACACAAATGAAAACAATCTACTGTCTTGCAAGGTGTGAGTCTTAGTCACTGAGTACATTAACTAATGAGCTCTTCCACTAACATCTATAAAAACTGTGAACTAGCCAGTGTCTCCCAGCTGTAGCAGTGCAAGAAAAAGGAAAAAGTCATTAAAAGGTTGTTGTACAAAGCCCAACCTGATACACATGGGACCAGGAAATTCCAGGCTGGTTTTGCACCAGCCAGTTTCCACCACAGGATACATGATGTGGATCTCCACCACTGCACACCAGCTCTAGGATGCTCTTATACCAGTCTGAGATTGTGCTGCTGCTCAAACCAACCAGATAAGCCTGGAGACCACTCTGCACTCACGGCAGAGCTGACCTACCTTGTGCAGCTTCACACATGTAGGTAGGACAAAGAAGAACAAGTTGTGTCTTCATTGTTCCATGCCACTACACTGCAGTGTGCTTGGTGACAGCAAACCCTCTCATGGGATCAGTGACCCTTTCATGAGCCCAAGAGCTGTGCACAAGCAAACACACACACATGCACACAGAGAACAATTGTGTCTTTTTATTTTGGTGTGTGTTTTTATTATTGTTATTATTTTATTCACAATGGTATTTAGCCACAGTAGTTTTGAGACAAGCAACCCCATCATTTCACCCTGTGTGCTCTCTGAGAAAGAGGCTTTCTGGAGAGGGATTTGAGCAGCTGCTGCTTAGCAGAGAATGAAATTCAGACTGCTAGAGGGGGAGGAGAAAGGGGGCAACAAACAACATTTGTTTAAAATCTGGCAGGAGAATCCTAATTAGATGAATTATTGAATGGATCATCAAGATTGCTCCCCAAAGTGCCATAGGGTAGGAGAGCCCTTAGAGGACATGTTGATTTAAGACTGCAAAAATGATCCCAAAGAGCACCACTGCATCACTGAATGTGGAACACTAAAGGCTCATTTGTCTCAAAAATCACACTTCCCACTCAGCGCCACTGCTCACTTGCCATGTATATAAAAGTTGCAACAGTTAATCATTGAGACAGGGACAAATATTTATTCAGGGACTACCTTAACGTTGAATGTTATTTCCTCCATGACGTAAACTCGTTCAGGAAATGCTTTAGCCACCTCCTCCACACTGTTAAAATACTGCACTGGCTCCTTAATATCTCGGTCTTGTTCCAGCAGCTTAAACTGCCCTGAAAACAGATAATAAACAGAAGAATTGTAAGATATTTATACTGGACAACTGTCACTGTGGCAACTGCTGGCTCAACTTCACCATTTTGCTCGGTCAATTTTTCCAGTTATTAGCAACCAAACAAGAAGATGAAAGATTGTAGAGTCTCCTGAACCTGGAATGAAAGACACCCACATTCACTGCCTTGGAATGAAAAGAACATGTGGCAGCCAAAGTGAAAGTAAAAAAGATTAGTTTATCACATGCTCTCTAGAAATAGTAAATAATTATGGAGGCATTTGCATTTGGGTACTTAATTCAGTGTTATAGTATCTGTACAGATAGCACTTTTGGGTCTTTAATATTAAAAGTTTTACAGAAAGAAACCACACCTACAAAACCCCAAAACAATAAACATACAGAGTTTGGGTTTGTTTTTAGCATCATCAAACAGCAGGCTAAACCTAAACCCTTTTACCCCTGGGCTTCCCTAAGAATTGAACAGCATCTAACTTTCCTTAATGATAAACTAAACCCTTTGAGAACTTTAGCTAACATAAGATATGAAACCACACACATTTAAAACTCTTTTGAAGGTGTCTGCCTTCAGAAGAGCATGAGAAAGAAGTGTTCCTTGCTAACTTTACCTCCCCCCCAGCATGGAAACTTTGGCTATTTTCTATCTCTTGTAAAAGACAAGAGCTAACATGGAGGGAGCCACCCCAGGCAGACCTGCCAGGGACAGCCAGGCACATCAATCACCTGTGTGCACTATGAACACAAAGTTTTAGAACCTTATTTTATAAATACAGATATAAGAAAAGCTTAGACAATTTACTGTTTGCATGACTTAAGCTTAGAACCTGTGGAGTGTTCTTTCCAAATTTAGAAATGGTAATTACTACTAAGTTAAAGGCTGGTCTCAGCAAGACTTGATGTAAAAAACAACTTTAGAAAATTAGGAAAAGGTTGAATAAGATCTATGGTTGGTGCATCTCCTGTAAATCACATTTTAAAATTTGCAATGCATGCACTGGATTATTGCTCCCAAATAGTGCTGAACTTCATTAAAATGCATCCAGTACATGAGGATGTTACCCACCTACAGAAATATTTTCTCACTCCTTCAGCATTCTTGTGCTCAGCACCCCTTTTACATCCCATCAGGCTTGAGACTTCCGTGACACGTTTGGAGAATTCACCCACACTGAACTATTGCAGGACGCCCATGAGAGAGAGCTGTCCTGCCCCTGCCCAGGTGTGTGCACACACGTGTGCCCAGCCATCCACCCCCCAGGAGAGGTGCCAGAGCAAGAGGCTCAGCACTGCTGCCCATCCCCAGCACCTGCTGCCAGGGGCACTCATTTAAGCAGTATGTTAAGAGCTCTGTGGTTGCAACTCTGAATATCAACTTGCAAGGCAGAGGACTTCCTTTTATGCCCTTCCATGTTTTGTCTTTCTAAAGTGATCATGGTAACTTTGAAGTATTATCAGCAGGGTAACCACAGATGCTGGTATTTCTCACTGCAGGACTGTTTTTTCAGTGTTTAACTTCATCAAACTTCTCAAAATCAGTTGAGTTTCCCAACTTTGCGTCTGCTTCAGGACATGCTATGATGTGGCATTCAACCAAGGCAATTCATGTACTTTGGAGACCAGCACTGGGGTAGAAGCCCAGGACCTTTTGTCTGACCTGAGGAAGCCCTTCCTACAGTGTACCACAGCAGGAATGGCTTCTCTGGATCAGACCAAAGGTCTGCCTCATGCAGCATTCCACCTTAGACAGGAGTAAGCAACAGCCATGTAAAAAGGTTAGACTTAATGCACAATTAGCAATACTACCCAAAATCTCCTTCCCAGCTCTCAGAGGAACTCATGGCTGAAGTTCCCAGTGAAGGGAAGAGGTTTTGGGCTTAGCAACCCCAGAGGTTTTCTTCCCTGTAAATTTGTTTAATTGCTTACTGACGGTATAGAAAACTTTCACTGTAGACATACCCTCTTATCGTGAAAAATGTTGGTAAACTCTTTTTCCACAAACTTTAAAGTACCTCTGGGATTAAGACTACAAACTGTAGGAGTAATAAAGCTATACCTGGCAGACAGTATGGGTAGCCAGAGGAAACCTGACAGCAGACAAGCATTTGGAAAATGCTTCACATATTGAAAAGAAACATGTCAGCATACTAAATCTGAATTCCTCAGCATGTCCACTTTGAGCCCTTTTGGGTGCAAAGCCATAGAGGGGCCAGGCAGCCAACACCTTTCGGCTAAGGGAATCTGCAAAATGAGCAGGAAGCTGCTCAGTTAACTGATGCTGGGAAGTGTGTTATGACTGATGCCAAAGCACGCACACGGAGAGACGAAGAGAGAACTGTGCTTTTTAATCCCCAGACTGCCACAGACCATGAAAATCCTGTCTTCAGGATTTCCCTGTCAGCCACAGCCTAACCAAGAGGAAGATGCATTCCCTGGCTGAACAGGTCCTTTCCCTCACAAGCACCCCACTTTCCTGTAAAAGAAACTGAGGAGTGGGGAAGTTGAATGAAATCAGATGCCCTTGTGCATGGAGTCAGGATGTGCCAGGACACCATGTAGAAGCAGAGACTATGAGCTGCACCAGGGAGCATCTGACAGCACAGAAAAACCACTACTCTAAAGCACAGAGCCAGCAAATTTACTTCAGATAGTCACTAAGAGCAGGATGCTCTTAAATTTAACAGATGTCACACAGTGTTCCTTCACCATGGGCTGACCTGAGGCTGTGTTTATTTTCAATTGTTATCCTCTGACTACCGACACAGCCATTGGGATGCAGCCCTAAATGATTGACCAGTTTGGGATCTAGGGGTATCATTTGCAGGATTTCTGGCTGTGGCTACCATTTGAGACAAGCTGTGATTAGAGTTTTTAATGACAAAAAAGCCCCAAACTCAAACTACAGCAAGTTTAGGTCATCTCAGACATATCTAAGCTCAGTGGAGTTACTTCTGATTTGATACTCCATGCTTATGCACAGAACTGAGGTGAATATGATATTGCACAGAAGCTAAACAGTTTTTTGAAACAGTGATATACTGCAATAATAAAATTTTACTAGTTCAGAAAGAAATTGAGAATTCTCACTTCAGAGTGGGAACTGAGTTGGGCACAGTAACAAAGCATGAATTCACACGAACGAGGAAGGAAAACAAAATACTGAATAGTAATACATGATATGAAAAATACTCATCCAGCCCTTTGAATGAGACAGTGGCCTTTAATTCTAGGTTCACCAGTTACTCTGTTTGCAAACATAATAACACTATTTTTCTAGGACTTATATATTTAACAACAGTGAATCTGGTGGCAAGGCAAGACCAGTTACTCCCTGCAACCCAAAGTTCTACAAAAAAAGTCCCAAATTCCTCAGCATAGAACAAACACTTTGGGCTGTGTGCAACTGGGAGCAGAGTTTGCTCTTTACAGCAGATTTACACATTCCTAAAAAAAAAAAAAAAAAGAAAGAAAGAAAAAAGAAAAAAAGAAAATCATCATTGGGAGCTTTGGTCCCATACAAAGCAACGCTCAGAGCTGTCTGTGTCACTATCTGTGCCATCCTCCCCGTCCTTCAGCTGAGCCTCACAAACACAAAGCTGTCTGTGCCCTCACTGTTAATAAGCAGCAGTTCATGAGGAGGTTGACGACAGAGGAGTACACACAGATCCCAAAGCACAGAAGAGAAGGGCAGCATTAATCTCTGCCTGTTACGAAATCAAGAAGTATGCTGTGCAAGGGAGCTGTCAGGGCTAGACATTAAAATGCCTCTTCCTTGAAAAAGATGGGTTTATAATATGAGATTTTCTGTAGACAGTTTTAAAAAATATATTTCCTCATTGATAAAAGCAGACTTTTTTTTTTTTTTTTTTTTACTGGAAGGAGAGAAAGAAGGGCTGAAGAGCCTTTAATACATATTTGAACCAGATGTCAGTAACTAACTAATGGGGAGGGAGCAATTTCTTACTATGTTTTTACCTGGTCTCTATTCAAGCCTCCATAAAAAAACGAATACAGTATGGCTGAAACAAAAGTTTAACAGACACAAGTATGGCTTGACTGCATGTTGAAGTGGAAATTTATTCCACTTTGCAAGAGGCACAATTTCCTTGGGACACTTGACAAAATTGACAGCAAGTTTGAACAAACCACAGGGCAATTTCACTTTGTGTTAATCAAGAATTTAATAAAAAATAAAGATAATATAAAGCTAAAACTATACTTTTATAGAAGCTCACCCTCCTCTCTCACTAGCACAAAAAGAATAATGAAATGTTTCTGTAGTAAATCAGTGAAGGTTCAGAAAGATCAAAGATTCGCAATACCTGCATGGTCCACTGAGCAGGTATGGCTATTCCTCTGCAGCCAAACACAAGGGAGAAATGAACAACCACTGCAAGCTTTTTATCTCCTTATCTTTCTGTCTGGCCTCTGGCAGGCACAGTATTGGAACAGTTTCATTCTAGTATATATTATCTCTGTAGATTATGAATTCTTATTTCTCTGTGAAGGTACTTACAGCAAAGACAATAAATCTACTACTGGTGGAAATGACTCTGGAAAGCTAAAAAGGCAAGGAAGGACCTAAACCAGTGCTTATCCTCCAGTTTATGAAGGCATTTATAAAAACCCATTAGGAACAGGAAGATCAGTCCATCTTCCTTCTTGCCAGATTGGCCCTGGAATGGCTGTGAGCAGGGGCATTAATCAGCCCTTTCTGTCCCAGCTTCTGCTACTTCCAATGCTTAGGTTCTTGCAGGCTTACACACATTCCTAACTCCAACCCAGCTCATACAGGTTATTTCTGTGATGTCAGATCCCCTGGTTTTCAAAGTGACTTACCCCTTACCCTCTAACAGTCCAGCAGTTTCCAACAGTCCAGAATGTTCCTGAAGCAGAAACATTCTGTATAGTGTCTGCATTGTACCTAGACCCAGGCAGTCTTTATCTGTGGCAGGCATTCACTGGCTGGACAAACTGTCAAGT